ATAGATAAATACATATAGATAGAGAAGGAGAGTAATACAGAGAGAGAGAGAGAGGGGGGAGGGAGGGAAGGAGTGAAAGAGAGAAAGAAAGAGAGAAACGTAATTGAGAAAGAGAGAAAAAAAGAAGCAAGTAACTACAGAATTTAATAAATTAACTACGAAACAGAAACACTGGTGAATATGATCTAACTAGTAATGCTAAAACAGCACGACCTTCTTCGCATTATTTCTAACTTGTCTGCAATATTATACTCCTACAGTCCTGTCCCTAAGGCAACGACTGTCCAATGGCTCGACGGGCCGCTATGGGTCTTGGACGACCAGCGGTATTATACTACTAAATAAACCTGCAAAAGTGTTTACAACCAACAAAAAATATTTTACGCACCAAGACTCGGACTCAGGACCTCCGAGTTAACTCACCGTCAGAAGATCCGAGTGGTTCAAACTCTGCCCGACGCTTAAAAATATTATAATCTCAAAGCAATGTTTCCAACATACAATGTTCGTAATTTTCGAAATAACGTTTTTTTATTTAATCGAAAACGCGTTTTTTTATTTTAAAGCATTTAAAAAATGAAAATTGTTTATATTTCGCTCACAGACAGACACAGACGAAGACAGACGCAGACAAATAGAGACAGAGACAGACACTGACGGAAGGACGGACGAACGTTTTACCGTCAATGGAGTTTTCGGTATCAAGGGCTCAGAATTCATGTTTTCAAGGGCCCAGATATAAGAACTTTTCTGCTGAAAATTCGCCGTTTACCGTCGCACGATTATATAACTTTTTTTTCTTCGTGCCAAGTCAGTGCGAGAAAGTAAATAGCACAGATTCATTTTTAAGCCAGAAGAAAATCTAATAAATGACCAACACTTCATGTTGGCTGGTAAGTAAAATACTTTTTATTGTCAGTATATCTCAAGACTTGAAGTCAACGTGAATACAAACTTCGCAAACAAAAATTGTTTATATGAAATAGCAAAAAAAGCAAAAACAAAAATCGATTCAATATTACGTTTTCCACTACATTAAATTTATTACATTTCTTTATATATTAGCTTATGTCATATAAACATTCAATTAATTTTTATATTGAAATTCTATTATTCGCTGTGCACTTGCGCGGGTCAAACAAAAAATTATTTTTCGCTTCTTTCAATGATATTGAGAAGGAGATCTAGCCAATCATTTGGAGACAGGGATGTATCGTAGATTTTTGTTAAATAATTAACATTTTGTTATTACATTGTATATTATTTAGGTAATGTAGATATGATACATTACATAATTATTGAATAAATAATTACATAATTTGATCATAAATAAATATTTGAATCAATTTTGCGAAAAAAATAAAGGCAAACTAGGCCTTTGGGGGTGGGAGCATAGCTTACATGGTCTCCTCTGGATCGTCCAGTGGTGATATTTAATAGTGATTACTATCTATTCATTTTATGAATGCAGTCAGTCTGCTAACCAATCTCTGCCATAATGTGATTTTTCGTTAAATTTACCTATTTAATCATTCTTTCATTTATTCATATGGGAATTTGCTTGTTTAATTGATAGCCGGCCGCGTCAACAACTTCGATTATTAATCCAAAGACTGCAATTCATCCTACATCCCAGGAAGAAGTGGTGTTCCGCTTCCGCTAGGTTGTGAGATCCAGCACCGATCTACACGCCATTCCATGATTTTCCCTTTCTGGTGTCTCATCAAGGCATCACACTTTCGTGGACAAGCCCTAAGAAACCTTGACCCTGGGCTTCCCACTTTTGCCCGTTTGTTAAGGTTATGCTCCAGCATTGATATTGATTAGAGAAACAGCTATTCAAGGAAAGTCTCCCCCACCGCCTAGATCGTACTTCAAACCTGCTTGATCTATTTGAAATAAATTCACTATGTCTCATCAAAAAGAGACCAGGGAAAGAAAACGATATTGATCAAGATCACGAAGGATAATTACGAAAGGGACGTGCTCCGTTCGTGTACCGCGCCAAGAAAATCATGAAATTTATCCAGTAACTTGAGAAAAATCAAGAAATATTTTAGAAAATTGCAAGCTGCTCTGGTAATTTCAACTCAAAACAATGACAGTGAAGAATTTATAGCTTTAACATTTCACTCGTTCTTGAAATGAAGCGCGATCATTAAAACTGAACACATGCCAAAATAAGAACATCCACCTTTCTGTTTGCATATCCCCAGACATCATCATGTGATATACGTGACCACGAATACATTTCTACGTGTTCCATTTTGTGTTACGTAGTTATGCCGCCTCCTCAGAAGCTAATTGCTCCTCCTCGCTCCGGATCCCACAGATCGTCCATCATCCACTCGCCGCGGAACTTCTATAGCAGGGAGTGTTGGAGGATGTTCGACCGCGCCTCGTAAAGTTTACGCACTGACTTCGTTCTGAGCGCTGCGGCGGGCACGCGTGGAACTCCCGGGTTGTAAGCTATCATCGAGGAAGTCTCGTATACAACCGTAGCCGGTTTAAGGAACCGCAAAGCACGTAGTCCCAACCGCTGAAATGCGGGCTTCCCTTTTCGAGAACACACACCGCGTCTTTCTACTGAAGCTGAACATTTTTTACGTGATGAAGAAAAGTGAGACTTCCCCACTTGAGGGAAGTTGATGAAGAAAAGGAAAATGAACTGGATTAGTCATAAAGCGTAGAACGGTTAGAAGAACCCTAAAAAAATCAAACAAGGGAAGTCTTTTCCCAAATCTAAAAGACAGTAGTTGGACCACCTGATGTCCACGAAACAGAACTTATGGTACAGTGGCAAAATATAATTTCGGAGTAAGAGTAACAAGCACCTCAACCTCAAAACAATACCAGAAGCAGAGAAGTAATATAAATGAAAAATAGAAAAAAGAACAAAAATGTTTAAAATAAAGTGTGTTTATCCACTTAATATGAAAAATAGATCTATTAATTTTGGACATTTAAATTGGACAATAACATAATGAGTTGAGAGTTTCTTATTATTTCGTCTTATTCTAGAGGTTACATGCGACATTGCCAACAACGGCATTCATTGTAAAATGTATCACTCGGACCCCTTCATTCTCAATAATATATTTTATTGATTGCCATACAGTGAATTCTTGTCTGGCCAAGAAGCAGGTTGAGGGAACAATGCTGCGGTACCAGCCGTACAACCAACGCAACGCGCGCTCGCTCGCAAAGCCCGCTCGAAATCTCTGCAAGCTCCTTTTTCAAACCGTGTTCGCAAACAGAGTTCGCTACATCCACTCGCGCATATTTTATGAAGAACTTTTGGTCTAGACTGTTCTTCAGACGGTTCATAGCAACATTGTTTTGAGTACCGCACAAGCGGACCACACACCCAAAACTACATTGTTTAGGAGTCCAAGTTCCGGGTGAAGACCTCCTGCCCCCTCTGCCGGATGTCTCGCAACGAGACATGGAGGACCTGGCACTTAGCCAGCGATGCCTGCGCCTGGAAGAGTTCCTTGACACCAGAGTGCATTCCTCAGATGAGAAAAGACAATGCAGAATGTGCTTGCCTCGGTCAAGCGCTGTTCGTTTAAAGTACATGCCTTTTAACATTGCTGCACTTACCCTTATCGCAACGCCTTTTACTCCGCTACAGTTGTACTTTAAACGAGATCCAAGTACATTTCTTGAGGCTCGCGTGTGCGATTTACTATCTACGGTCGAGTGTAAGTCGCAGAAGAGTGGAAATGCTTCAAATGCGATTAGGAGAGTTACTGCGGTACCTGATATTGATTAATAATATATCTTTGACCTCTGTGAATAAGCTGAGTTTCCTTTTTGCTGAAAATCAGAAGTATGCTTCTGGATTCTGCAAAACATTCTTTGTATTTGTCTATATTAAGGTAAGTTATACTCTTCTGGTTGTTTAGAAATAAGCGCATATGTATTTAGAAACATTACTTAACTTTCATAAAATCATTAAGTCATCCATCACAAACCGACTTGCATGAAATGATTGGCATGAAATAAGTTAAGATGTATATATATTAACGATCGAAGTACAGCGCCACTAATCACAGGATGGCAAGATATATCGAAAAGCTGTAAAATTTAGTTCTCGTGAGCCCATGGCTCAATCATCTATGACAAAAACCCTAAAGCCTTCATCTTAAGATTGCACAGGGACCAGTTATTTTCAATTTGTGCAATATATTTATTAGCAAACATGTCTAACGAGAGTTTTGAGCATAAGTGGGGAATGAGGCTTACTTCTTTATGTCGGAGCTCTTCTAAGCAGTTCATCTCAGTGGAGGGTTGCTTTCCATTGGATGAATGAGCGCAAGGTTGATCATAACTAGGGGCGAATTTTATTGATTTAAAACCGTCAAAACTGATAAAGAAAATGCTCTTGAAATGTTTTCAAATGTACTAAAATTCAAGAAAAATTACGTAAAAATTTATCAAAACCAGTTCAGATGAACGACTCAAGCTGTTGGATATGTTACTAATGTAATCGAGACATCTTCCTTTCGATCAAGTGAACTCAACTTGCAAACTCTTGGTTTAGGCCCTTCTTTACCTAGAAATATAACTTTAGCTAACTGTAAATCGGCTGAACAAACAATGGCGCTGATGGGC